TCACTATAGAAACTGGGCTAAAAAATTTATTGAGCTGATATCAGATTTATATACAAATATATATAAAATAATAATTTTGATTTTAATAATTCATGTACAAATGTATAATTTACAGATTCTTAATTTCATTTTAAAAAAAATCGAAAATAAAAATTATTTTTTAATCCAAGGTAATTATGAAATATTCGTCCTCTAGTTCATATCTCGAGTCGATTCAAGTTGAAAGTATAAAGTGTAAATAATAGAAAAAATATTTTAATTAATAATAACTAATTTGAATTATTGGTCCTCTAGTCGACTCAAGTTGACGATCCAAGTTCATATAACTATTCATATTCTAATCAACTAAAGTTCACGACTCGAGTCAGTCGACTCAAGTTGACGATCCAAGTTCATATAACTATTCATATTCTAATCAACTAAAGTTCACGACTCGAGTCGACTTGAGTCAGTCGACTCATTCGACTAACGACTCGAGACTATGAGTCGGGTGAACTCGACTTTTTAACAACACTAATATGGCATATACATGCTAGCGTTTCGTCATCTTTGAATGCCTTATAAGATTTGCTCCATAATCAGTCACACAACTATACATTTATTTAAATAATTTTATACTTCTGTGCACTCTTCTAAAATTGAATTGACTACACTTTTAAGATTGACGCCTGTTTCCATTTCCCTTATGGAAAAAACAAATGTATTCAAAAATCTTAATAATAATATGTCCTGTATGGTTATAAAACTTCGATTTTTATAGTCATTCGCCCAAAAATCAGTGGCTATGATAGGTAATTATTATTGAACATACTTTTAATCTTAATTTCAATTTTATGAGAGTTTTCCTGCTCACAAATATATCTTTTATATTTTGTTGTCCATATGTAAAACTAACATTTATTAAATCTTGACTTAGCTTGTAAAATCCTTCACTTGCTGTTGCATTTAAAGATCGAAGATCTTTACAAATAAAATATAACTGACTTTTTTGTAAAATGTTTAAGCAAAATTTAAGAAAAAGTCTCGCGATAAAACACCTAAACATAAAAAGAATAGAACTTATGGCATGATAATGGATGTTGTTTATAAAATGTGGAAGATTTTTGTTTTCAGAAATTATTCTTTTTTAAAATAAGAACTAAATTAAATTAGAAAATATATATTATAATTATAAAATTGCAAATTTATATTTATAAAAAAAACAATTTTATAAATTAAAACTTCCATAATTCACAAGAAATTTATGTTCACGCCCGATCACACCTAGGAAAAATTTTGGAAAGGTCTGTCACGCCTATTAATTTAAAATTTATTCACACTTACACCGTGACATGATGGGTCACGCGTAATTTAATGGCGGGCCTAATTTTTTATTCATGGCCCGCCCGCTTACGGTGGCTATAAAAAAATTCACGCCCATTCACGCTTACCACTAAAAAATTTTCGACCCGACCCGCCCGCTCACGACAAGCAATATTTTGATTCACGCCCGAAAATTCACGGTGTTTTTAAATTTTTCAAAACTATTGCTATAATTTCACACTTTTTTGAATTCATTCTATTTATTTCTCTAATTTCATAATCCATATTAATAACAAAAATAAATACAATATATAAATCGAAATTTATTTAGAAAAAGAAGAATGTCCATTTTTTTTTTAATTGTGTATGCCTTTCCTCTAATAAGAGATTGGCTACAGAAAATAACCTTTCACAAGAAGCCGAACTTGTAGCTGACAAAATTTTACTCGATAATTTTCTGAAAAAAGGAAATGAATATTCCTGCTTCCAAAACTTCAAAATATTGTCTTGTTATTTATCTTATATGAATCTTTTAAGTTCATCCTCACAGCTTTCATCGGTGATGTTGATGCTTCATCAGAATCATCTAGAAATTCTCTAAATTTTTAATTTAGAATATATGGTCTTTTATGAGTGTAGGATGAATTAGGAATAGTTGGTATTGACCATTTAGAATATACGTTTTATATCATTTAGCATTTTTAAGATTGTTTTATATATATCATTTATTAAGTCTTTTGAAATTCGGATCTAGAATTTAGCCTACCTTATGTAGTGGCTGCATAATAATCTTTTAAAAGAAATCTTGTTCTGTATTTTAAGGTTTTGATTATTATTGTATCACGTTCAGAAGGTTAACAAAATTTTATTAATTTTTTCCCATAGACAAACTTCATTTATTTTGGGACGAGAATCTGCTCTCAGATTATCCGAGCATTCTTTAAATATTGATAAAAATTTATCTAACTTGTGTATGATGCTGATATCAATTGTGGCTAATCTTTAATTTTTGCTTGCTAAACAAGTACACCTATATTTCAGAATATGATTTTAAGAAACTCTGTATCATGATATATACAGAGTTCCATCTAGTTATTCTAGCTATTACATCTTGTTTAAGGGTGCTTAGTTTGCTAATAGCTGTAGATTATTTGAAATATTGTACTATTTTTTTTACATAATTTATATTTATGGTTATTTCAGTTAAACAATTGTCAAAAATATAATGCATAATATTATTTAGTATATGGCATATACATGCAAGCGTTTCGTCATCTTTGAATGCACTTATAAGATTTACTCTGTTATCACTCACATCATATTTATTTAAGTATTTTCTCTGTATATTCTCCTAAAATTGAATTGATTACACTTTTAATTTTGACGTTTTTTTCATCCATTGCCCTTGTGGCCAAAACAAATATTTTTAATTTAAAATCCTTAATGATAATATATCCTATAATGGTTAAAAAAACTTAGATTTTTATAGTCATCCGCCAAATATCAATGATTATGGACAAGTAATTATTATTGATCACTTAATCTTAAATTTTATTTCATGGTATATTTTTGGACCTATAGTATTCATGAGAGTTTTCCGGTTCACAACTTTTATATTTTGTTATCCATATGTAACACCAACATTTATCTCTTGGCCTAGCTTGTAAAATCCTTCACTTTCTGTTGTATTTAAAGATTGAAGATCTTTATAAATAAAATCTGAATTTTCTGTAAAAAGTTTAAACAAAATTGCATAAAGTCTCGCGACAAAAAACACCTAAACATAAAAAGAAAATAGAACTAACTAAATGATACCGGATGTTGTTTATAAAATATGGAAGATTTTTAGTTTTCATAAATTATTCTTTTTTAAAAAAGAACTAAATTAACTAAGAAAATATATAATATAATTATAAAATTATATTTATAAAAAAACAATTTAAAAAATTAAAATTTCTGTGATTCACGGGAAATTTATGTTCAAGCCCAATCACGCCCAGGGAAAATTTTGGGAAGGCCCGTCACGCTTTGGAATTTAAAATTTATTCACACTCACGCCATGACCCACCGTGACACAATGGGTCATGCCTAATTTCACAGCCCGCACCCACCTCTAGTTGGAACGTTGACAGACAATAGTAACAGGTTGGTGAACATAATAAGAATAAAAGATTCGATGCCATATGCTTGCAAGAGACGAAATGGTCAGGGGCCAGGGTGAAAGAGCTCAGAGAATTGTATGTTGAATTACAATGGGATGGTGGTAAAAAGGAATGAAATGAGTATTATCTTGAATGAAAAGGTTAAAGAGGTGCTCGGATTGTCTGATGTGGGGCAAGCTCAATGATGATGGAGGCCCCCTTTACATCATAAGTGACTATACTCTTTAAGTTAGATGCCTGGAGATGAAGAAGGAAGCTTTTAACAGGAGATGGTTGTGCAAAAAATTCTGAAGGAGGATAAGGTGTTAGAGCGATTTTCGAATTGAAGTAGCATATTAGTGATATGCATTGGGCCTTATTTATCAAACATAGCCTGGTTTGAATTTTTTTTTGAAAACTGCCCTATCCTAAATGAAATTTTTTTATTTGTCCTGAAAAGCCCAATATAAAATAAAAATAAAGATTATTTTCCCCAGCATGGCCCAAATTTATTTAAATATAAAAAAATCAAATTTTATTGTAAAAAATATATTCTACAAATAAAAAATATTAGCACCTTGTTTCTTGCAAGAATATTAAAATATATCAACTTGTTTCACAAAATTTAATATCTTATTTAAAAATTAAAGTCCAACCTGGTCAGGCCCCAATTTTTTTTAAAACTTAGGCCCAACTTAGTACGAATTAAGATTATTTTCAAAATAGGCCTGTATGATCTGGGCTCAGGTAGTGTATATCTTTGAATCTGGTTGAGCTATCCTCAAAATGTTAATTTTATTAAATTTAACAACATAAATCATTAATAAGTTTTATTCATTTTTGGGATCATCATCCAAAGCATTGATTTCGCAATACTCCTATTCAAAAATGGCAATCCAATGAAATCTAGAGTATATAAAATCAATTTACTTAATCCCTAGAAAAAAAATCTAAATTAGCAATAGGTAATCATAATTTAACAAAGGTAATTTTAATTGGCAAAAAGAGTTAACAAAATCAATGTACTAGAACCAAAATTTGGTGGCTTATAAAATGGTCTAATTTCATTAATATTCTATCATTATGTATTATCTTTTATCAATTTATATCATTTAAATAAATATTTTGAAAATCAGGCATATACCCAGGAGGGGTATGGGTATCACAAATTTGCTTGGTTTTGTAAATATCTTTTTAATAATAAAATTTTTCTTCTACACATCCACCTCCCCCAAAAATATAAACATTATATCAGGAAAAAAAGAATTTAAAGGAAAGATTAGTAAGAAGTTGTTGACTTTAAAATAATATCAAAATTTTTAGAAAAATTAAGCAAAATTCAAAATTATTTTTATAAGAATAATATAGCCAAAGTCAATAAGTAAGCCTAAAAACTTCCAATAAAAATTATTGAGAAAAATTCACCTATTAGTGCATACCTGTGATGGAAATTATTTTGATTGTATTATCAACTGACATTTATTTTAAAAATCAAATTATACCTGCAAATAATTTATAATAAATATATTAGGCAATAATAATGATTTTTAAATTTGCCTTCCAATCCTTTGATCTCATAAAAATAGGGATTGCAATATTGTTTGAATACACTGTAAGAACTTGATTTTAAATGAGTCTGGTTATATCGATATCTTTGAGATCCTTGTTAACGATATATAATAAAAAAATAAATAAATTATACTTAGGATAATCGGGATTAAAATCAAAGCGAGCAAAATAAATATACTTTTATAATATTTTAATAATGATCGCATTGAAATTACTGAATATGCCTTTTTCAAAAAAGAGATGATCGGCAATCTGTCAAATATACCTGTCAGATTATAAGCTTAGAAATTTTAATCATGAAGTATTTTATTGATCTCAGGGCAGTAGCCAGGAATTTTCAGGTAGAGGGACCAGCTGCTAACTTGAAGGGGCTACTATTTCTTTTAAATAAAACAAATAATTAAGCATTCATAGCAGTGACGAGGCGTCAAGGTTACTACTAGGGAAGCAATTAAAAATTTTTTTTATTTTATTTATTAGTCAAACCATAAAAAATTAAGATTTATAAAAAACGGAATTCGTCTTTGTTTTTGAGTAAAATGATCAAGTACTTAATTATAAAGGTTATTACTAGATTTTAAATTTTTCAATAATTTTTTTTCAATAGAAATCAAAGCTAGATTCGATAATCGATTTTGACTCATTCTGTTTCTACAATAAGATTTGATTATTTTTAAAGATGAAAACCCCCGTTCTGCACTTCCTGTTGTTGCAGCTAAAGTTAAAATGAATTTGCATAATTTAAAAAACTCTTTAAAACTTTTCATCAAATCGGTATTAATTAAAAATTCAAGTATTTAATAAACATTTTTTCTCTTTCTAAATTCATCGTCACGAAACACTACCTTTAATTCGGTTTCCAGCTTGTGTAAGTCGAAAAATTGAGAATAAGTGTCATTTAAATTGTCTAATAAATATTTTGGGAAATTTTGATTAAATATTTGAAATTTACTAATATCTAACAATTCGACGAATTTAATATTTTTTAATGTATCTGTTACGTTATTATATTCTAATTTTTAATCTTATTATTACTTTTTATAATCTAATTTTATAACTTTACTTTTTATATTTCGTAACCTTACTTTTTATATTTTATAATATTTTACTTTTTGTTTTTTTTAATATTGTATTCTAATTTTGATTTGTAAAAAAATGTATATATACCTTAAGAAAAGAAAAAGAAATATATATATAAAAAAATACATTTTTACATACTGGCACGTTTATCATGATTTTCTTCATGGTGCTCCATAATAGGTATAAGAAACTCACCTTATGGAAATTAATTTTTTTTTTAAAAAATAAATTTTTTTTTGGTATAAATGATTAATAAAAAAAAATTATTATTAGTTCTATATAAAGGGAGAATTTATAAAGTAAAATCATTGTGATATTTTTTTTTTATATCATGTTCTCTTTCAAATTAATTAATATTCCCCATGATATTTCAATTTATGACATTTTGTTTGACTTAACCTACAACTGTGATGTAAATTATTCTAGAATAAGTGGAACGGAAGATGATCCGTTTGAATTCATTAACTTAAGAGATATGATTGGTTGCTTTGAATTGTTGAATGGGAAGCATTATATATATAATGATAATGAATTTATAGAATTAATTTGCATATTTATCAAAATATAAATTGCTAAAATATTAAATGTTATAATTTCTTACATATATGTTTTACCAATAAAAAAATGGAAATAAAACAAGTTTATACATAAGATTCCTAAGTTAGTGGGACCACTTACTGAAATTTATTTAGATAGAATATTAAATTCTTTTTCGACCAGTACATTATCGGACTCTATTAAAATAAATACTTTGCTTAATAATTTATCAGACGAAGTTTTTGACAATATTAAATCAATTTGTTCTGATACCGACATTTTAGATCTTAAAATTGTGATTAAAAAGTTAACTTACCTTTTACCTGTGCAAGATAAAAACATTTTAATTAATAAGTTTAATCTGCTTCAACAAAACTCATCAGAGAGTTTTATGCTGTGGTACATAAGAGTATCGAAACTTCATAAAAAATGTAATTTTTTGGACGACAGTAGATTAAAAGAAAAATTACGTACATCTACCTTAAATGATAAGATAAAATATAAGTTCTCTAAAAATATCGACTTAACATTAAACCAGATGGTCGAATTAGGGGTGAAACTGGACTGTATTAGCATTAAGTCAGATGATAATGATATAAGTTATATAAACAATGATAAAAAGTCTGATAAAGATAAAAACTTTTACAATAAAAATAGAAACGACAACAATAATTATTTTAGACCTGATGATAATTTTAGAAATAATTACGATAATAGAAATAGAAATGGGAATTATAATAATAATTTTAGATACAATTACGGTAATAATAATTTGAGATACCACGATAATTATAACTAAAATAACTATCGTTATAACAATAATAATCAATATAACAATAATAATCAATCTAATTATGGTAGAAATAATACATGGTATGATAATAATCAAAGAAAACAGATCCAATACGGTGATGGAAATCGTAACAATTACCAATCTTATTACAACAATTCAAATAATTATAGAGGCAATGACAATAATCAAAGAAAACAGATACAATATAATAATAACTCAAATAATTTTGGAGGTGGCGACAACAATATTAGAAAGCAAATACAATACAAAAATGATTATAATATGAATATTGAAGAAATTATTGAAGAGAAAGTTGACTCTACAAAGAACAAAGATGATAATAATTTTAATGTTAACAACTTATCTGGTGACATGCTTAATGATAAAGATAACGCATTTATGACAACCTTAAAAGTGAACGATATTGTTACATGTATGCAAGTGGATACTGGCTCTAAACACACTATTATACCTCATGGTCTGGCTAAAAAACTTGGTATTAGAGATCTTAAGAAATCCGAGCTAAAGCTCACCGCATATGACGGAAATTTAATCATAATCATCGGCACTACTCAAGTCAAAGTGACTTATGAAGGTATCTCAAAATGTTTACAAGCGGTAGTCGTCGAATCAAGTAAAAATATTGTGGGGACGTACATGAATCAATGCTTTCAAAAATATTTTAAATAAATTTATAGCTAATGTTGACACTAATTACGAAGATGAAATAAAAAAATTAATTAAAGAGTGTGAATCTAAATTGACTAATGGGCCAATCAACAAAGCAAGTGTCAAGTTACATTTAAGAAGAGATGCCCAACCTAAAATTATACCGCCTAGACGTATTCCTTATTCAAAGATTGATCTTGTTAGCAATGAACTTAAGAAATGGATACACATACATGATAAGATAATTGAGCCGGTGAATGATGTCCGATGGGCAAGTCCTGTTACCGCTGTCTACAAAGATGATGGGAGCATTAGGCTTTGTGCTGATTTTAAGGACACTGTAAACCCAGCTCTAGAAGATTTCAGATACCCTCTACCACGAATCAATGATCTAATAGCTAAACTTTCAGAAGGAAAGAAATTTACGAAGATTGACTTTAAAATGCTTTCTTACAGATACCAATTGATAAAAGTTGCAGAAATATTTTAACCATATCTACGCACAAGGGATATTACCAATTTACTAGACTTCCTTTTGGGCTTAAGACCTCATCTACAATTTTTCAACAGATTATGGATCAAATCTTTGGTGACATGGATGATGTCATATTTTATATTGATGATTTACTTATAACTGGAAAAAACGATGAAGCCCACCTTAACAACATAAAAAAAGTGTTTGATAGAATATCATCGTTTGGGCTAATACCTAATTTTAATAAAAGTGTGTTCTTTAAAACAAAGTGAGGTTCCTGGGTCATGATATTGACGCTAAGGGGATTCATGCTAATTACGACAAAATTGAAGCAATAATTAATATGCCAGAACCAAAATCAGCTGCTGAATTATCAACATTTCTGGGAATGGCTGGCTACTATAGAAAATTTTTGAACAATTTTGCAGAAATGCCGATCCTCTATATAAGATTGTCAACAAAGAAAAATGGGCTTGGAACCTAGAACACTCTAAAAGTTTTAATGATCTTAAGAAGTTGATTAGTCTTCCACCTGCTTTGACATATTTTAACCCTGAATTACCTATAGGGATAGCCACTGACGCATCGAAATGTGGTTTAGGAGCTGTACTATTTCATATTGAAAAAGACGGTAAAGAAAAACCTATAGCTTTTCGAGAACTTTATTAAAATCTGAAATGAACTATACCAATATTGAGCGTGAGGCTCTCGCCATTATGTTCGCCATAAAGAGGTTCTAGGAGTATTTAATCGGCACAAAATTTACAATTATTACTGACCATAAGCCTCTAGTTCACATCTTTACCAAGGGTCTTAAGGATAATAGTACCATGTCCTTAAGACTCCAGAAGTGGAATATTACATTAGGAGGATATGATTTTAATATAAAGTATAAAGCCGGTAAATATAACGTTGTTCCTGATTGTCTCTCGAGATTACCACAAGAATACCATGATGAAACTATTGAAAATATCACCATAATAAACGAATATGGGGATTTACCTATTAATTTTAATCAAATTCGAGATGAAACTTTGAAATATATTGAATTAAAACAAGTCATAAATGATATTAATAACAACAGGCCTATAATGAATAATATTTATAAAAACATTGAATTGGAATTAAGTATAATTAAGGATTGTCTTTACAAAAGCAACAGAATCATAATTCCGTCTTCTATGAGAAAAAATATACTACAGTCATTACATGAAGATCACTTGGGAGCAGGAAAAATTAAATCCTTAGCCAAAGATTACATGTGGTGGCCTGGTATAAATAATGATATAGTAATGGAAGTGAAATGTTGTGACGATTGTAATATATATCATGATAATCCTATAAGATACAAAAACCATGGATTTCGGCAACCAAACCGTTTGAAAGGATACACATAGATTATGTGGGTCCGTTTTTTACAAAAAATTGGTCAATAATAGTCGATGCATACAGCAAATTTCCAATTATTATTCTTGTTAAAAATATTACAACTGATGTTACTTTAAAGGAAATCTTTAAAACTATTTCGCTATTATGGAATACCTGAAACTATAGTTACTGATAATGGCACTAACTTTACGAGTAATGATTTTGAAAAATTTTGCAAAAATTTCGGTATTAAACATGTGCTCACATCTCCAGCAATCCAATGGCCAGGTAGAACGCATGGTG